GCAGGTCCCTCTCTCCCCCATCTCAGTTGCTTATTTACCAAACCACTCTTGTTAATCCTCTTCACTGTATTTACTTCCCACTTCCCTCCAGTCTTACTGTCTTTCTTACTATTATTCAGGTGCTTGGCGATGGTAAAAAAAGCTTAAAAGACAGCCACCTCCAGAGCTGATTAAAATGAATCGAGCTCCACTGATTGTTTTTGACTCCGCACCGATTTACACCAGATGGAGAGCTGTTGGAACTGCTGGCATTCACAGTGCACTTGCCCCAGTCCAGTCCATAAACCATGTAATACTGAAACTATCCAGCTTCCTCCAGCCTGTACGGGTTTATGAATTGTCCTTGGACCTCCTGCTTTTACTTCTTGGTGACAGACAGAGACATGGCAGAGAAATACCTGGAGGTATTCCAGATTTTGAACAGTCATTCGACTGCTCTTGCTACGTGTTACAGAAATCGCTGGTTGTCACAGCTCACAAAATGAGCAGTGAAGTCTCACTGCTTACAGTGGGCCTGAGCCCTGGCCAAGGAGTGATTAAGCCTGTCCTAGAAATCTACAGATCTTACAAACTGTGAGTGCTGCTGGCGCTAAGTGCCAATCCTTAATTTTTTTTCTGATGTGCCATGGAAAAGTTTCTTAAGAGAAAATTCACATTTTTTAAAAGAGGAAATACCCATCTGTCACCAAGACCAGAGAAAACAGCTGTTCCCCCATTGCCAAACTGAGGGTGCTATCACTGTGTGTGTAACCATGCTGCAGCACCTCACAATTATCACATGAGATCTCCTCTGGTGCTTGATCTATGCAGTAGTGCACACCTGTACCTGGCCATGCAGTGCCCAGTATCACACATAGGAAATTCGGAGGCTGCTTTAAGAACCTTCGAAGAACTGCCCCATATGTATCTTCCCAGGAGTTTAACCTGTCTAGCAGTTCTCTGAGTAGTGAAGTTGATTGATTGACATATTTTGGTATTGGTTCCAACATGGATCAGAGAGGTAAAATCCATCCACTGGAATGGATTTCAGTATTTCTTATGATCATTTCATATTGGGAGAAGCCGAGTATTTCCAGGAGAGATGCAGGGATGGGGGTAGCAGCATGCTGGCTTGGTTCTAGTAGTTATTTCATACGAAGAAGCACCAATTCACTAAGCTGTATTTTATCAAAAAAAGCTTTAGTGCCTAAAATTGGCGATATGCTAAAGTTTTAGCTTTTACTAGGGAAAGCAAACCACCCCAGGAGAAACGTGTTTTATACAGATTGAATAAAAATATAGTTGAGTTACGATACCTTGAGGACAGTCGTTCCCTCTCTTCCTGCTACAGAAAAGCAGACATGAGAGAGTTTGATTGGGTCTGGCCCTTGGAAACCAGTAAATGAGATTTTAACTTAAGCACAATAGGATTTTTCTTTTTCTTTCTACTTCAAATTTGATTCCTATGAAAGTGAGGGATTAATACAACAGATCCAAGCTCTGTGCAAATAAATCTCTTCCTGCACTTTCCTACTAAAACATTTAACTCTTGCTACAACCTACAACCAGATGATTGATGTTATTTCACTTTTCAGCATCTCTTCAGTGCTTACACTGCTAATTAAGCTGAGCCGTATGCTTTAGGCTAAATAGGAAATAGATAACATTGATGGTCAGGATGTAAATCCCACTTCATTTGGAAGACTAATAAGCAGAGAAATCAAGTTATTCCAGTTAGGCTTTTGCAATACTCTCCTGTAATACTTATGGACTGGGAAATATATACCAACCATATATGTCTACTATAGTAGATACATAGGATCTACTATAGATAGGATACATAGGATATATAGAGATGTATACATAGGATACATCTATCCATGGATAAAACTGGTACTATCATCCAATCTGAACTCATGTTCAGTAGGTACTTGGTATTTTTATTTTGGTTTACAACTTTTTTAGCTGAATGGGCTGGTGAGAATTTTTAAATGTGTTTCCTGTTGCACCAAAAAAAGATATAAGCCATCTGCTGCTGCCAAGCCAGTTTCCATGCTTACTGGTGCTTCCAGTTTTTGTTGAACACCCCAGGCTATCATCAGAATGAGGTTTGCAAATGTGAAGATGTGGATCTCCTTCCTCTGCTCCCCCAGGAAGTGGTAAAAAAATTCTGTCTAAAAATGCTGGATGGTGACAGTCTCATGCAAGGTTGTAGGGAGTGTATGTTTGAATAATGATTCTCACCACTTTCACATTTACTGTTCATCAGAAAGTAGGTGATGAACCTCAGTGACCCCCCCTGAAATGTAGGCAAATGCTTTGATATCTGTTTCAAGGAAAGGAAACTGAGCAGAAGAGGGCTTTGAAGATCAGTTTGTGATGGGCACTGTGAACAGTCCCGTCCTCAGCAAACTTTGCCACTTTCCTGGTCCCCCCCGCAGTGACCAGCCACATGACAGCAGGGGACCGAGGCTGGGACACATCTGAAACCTGCAGACATGCTGACATGGTGCAAGAAGGGAAGGATGCCGCTCAGTGTGAGACACATGGCTATCCTCACCCGGGGCTAAGAAAGAGTCGGGGCAGGCACAGGTTGGGCCTTCAGGCTGGGTTCTGGTTTCTACATCAAGGCAATCAGCGTGTGCCTTTCCTTGGATGAAGAGGGTTGTGCCATATTGAGGTTACAACCCAGCCTAGATCCAGCTGGAGGATGAGTGGGTGGCATTCGCATCTAAAGGAGATGGGTATATTATAAATAAGCAGCCTTGGAGGTGGGAGACAGATTTCTTGGAGATGCAATGACAGAGGTCCCAATTCCAGGAGATGCACAGGAATAAGGGCCCAGGAGGACCACAGAGGAGAGCTGGTGGGATGGAGGTGTGAGAAAGGACGGGGCAGAGCACGGTTATGGAGCTGGAGGCTGGGAGCACACTGGAGGGACTCTCAGCTTCAGCATCACCCAGATTAATCCCCTCACTCCTTCTCTAGCCACCTCTACCTCTCAGTAAAAAATAGAGTGAAGGATTTATCACACTAGCTAAAATAAATTCAGCTAAACAGTATGGGATAATAGTCTGTGTCAAAGGCAGAGATGCTTCTCTTGTGAAGTGTCTTATCTTATTTCCTAGAGTTTATCAATAGATATCTTTTAGAGTGTATCAAGGAACCTGAACTACTGAGGAATGCTGCCAGGTACTTTAGGGCATCCTTTTAACAGAGCTGTTTTAGGAAGGACTCATTGATGAAAAGAAACGCTCTAGTTACTCTGTAAAAATATAATTAATAAGATTTTCTTTTATAGCTGTCTGTCCCACATCTGAGCAGTTTTCAGCTTAGCATTTGTCAGCAGTGTGAATGTCAACACTAAGAAGATCTAAGAGGAATTTTCACTTTTCTCTGAGCCTAATGCCTGTTCAAGCAGCTGACTTGTACGTTGATATTCACACTGTTGACAAATAATGCATGTCTTCATCAAGTATCTGTATTATTCTTCACTGACATGAAGCTTAAGACTTTGTTATGTGAATTCCCACAGTCTTTTCAAGGGAGTTCTAAATTTGTCTGTTTAAATTCCTTTTCTGCACCTCCCATCTACCAGCATCAGAGCAGATTTTAAGAGCAATTCCTTGCTAGGCACAAGTTGCCTTGGAGAGTTACTGCTCCTGTAGGTATATTTTGCAGCCTTGGCAGAAATAATTCACAATTTGGCACCAGGCACACAAATACAATAGTGGTTTTTGAAACAAATACAACTTTCCACATGGAATTACACCAATCCCCTATGAACAGCCAATGCTAGATTAGGAACTATAAGTAAGAAATTTTGCACTGCATTACCAGTCCAATTCAAGTCCAATTTCAGTCCTCCACAGATGATTTTTAAGAAGTTCAGTAGATAAGAGTGAAAGCCTTCCAACTCCTCAAAACTAATAAGCATTCATTTTAGCTAAACTGGAATAGCAAAGATACTTATGTAAATTTAATAAGAAATTAGATACAGACTTCTGTCTTCTTGTTTGAATACTCCCTTTTTGATGCTCTCAGATAGATATACTATCCTTCAAATCTGGCATAAATTTTTCAGACAATCACAAAGCATGTGCAATGCTCCACCATTGTGATATCCCTGCTGAGTCTCATCAAAAATCTTACAGTTCCTTTGCATGCAGATAACATTTTTCCCCCTCAAAAAATCCCAAAGCTGAATAAACATCATTTAATCCAAACTGTGATTCAGGTGTCACTGCAGTATCTCATGAGAGTTACAGATTTTTACTTTTCCCCTCAAAATATGAAATATTATTTAGGTGAAGAAATTATTCCCACTCCCATTTTTCTATGTAAGTAAACTCAATAATTTCTAACTACCGGAGGCCTATGCAAGCACATCTATTGCAAAGACAGTGGTAGGGGAGCTGAAACGGTCACTACACATCGTGCTGTACGTAGGCTTCACATAGGTTTTTAAATTAAAAGAGACATGTTTTGAAATCGATTCTGTAGGTGATAATTTTGAAGTAAGAATAAATTAGAAGTAGAGTCTCCAAATGAAAAACTACACAAATTACCCTAGATTTTGGGTTACAAGGGCTTGCATCAATCCGAAAGTAGTGACGGGCCCGGGCCAAGAATCTCACATCCCACATGTAAATTTTGAATACTACCAGAACTGAATAGCATGGTGTTTCCTGCCGCTACACTTGGCCAAGCCAAAGCTATTGACATTCCCCAGCAACCCGCCGCAATCTGACTTTGGGGAGTTCATATTAGTCTGAACACTGTGGCCCTGTCCCATTTCTAGTTTTTCTCCTCCTCATGCCCATGACTGTGCATTACACTTCATCCTTTACACAGGCAGGATACAGTACATACAGTGACTTTCCAATGAAAACACACATCGACTACAGGATGCATTTTGCCTTTAGGATGCCTTTAAACAAAACAAGGTATCAACCCAGTCTTGGGCCAACCTTTGTGGGGTTACATTGCCCTAAGCACAGTAAAAGCATCTAGAATCTTACCTTTTTATGGCTTTGTAGCAAATGATGACAACTACGAAGAGGAACACTAGTGTGGCGCAGCATACTGCGATGATAATAACCAGGCCTGGCCACCAGGTCTCTTCAGTGGGACAAAAGGTGGACTTGGGAGCTGTAAAAGGAGTGTGGAAAAATACATGAGTTCTCTGAAATAAGCAGCGTATAATCAGATATGCTTCAGTCACCCATGCAATAGCACTATGCCAGGGCCACAGATACATGCAAAGAGGATATTTCCCATTTAGGACCCTTTTTTTTTTTTTTTTCCCCAAGCAATCAACTAGTTTGGTACTAGGTATTTCTCATCGTGGTTCCCAGATGACCAGGTTCTCTTTGTCAGTGCTGTCCACATGCTCAGCACAAAGGAGAAAGGCTCCATTCTGCTACCCGTGGGAAACCTCTCCTCCCTCTGCATTTGCCATCTCCTGCTGCATCAGATTTAGTTTGAGAGAGAGATGTTACACTGATAAGGACAGGCTTTCAAACCCCATTAGAGGAGGTTTATCAGGGAGCTGCAGCAGTGCCTACCAATCAGTATTGCAGCTGCTATCGTTGTAACCTTGGAGCAAGGAAGGGGGATTTGTTTTAAAAGAAGAGGAATTTTATTACATTTATTAACTGCTTTTAGAGGACTA